ACACACACACACACACACACACACACACACACACACACACACACACACACACACACACACTCACACAGAGTCATATCTCATTACCCTGATAGTGCAGCCAGTGGGTGTTGCAAGAGGAGGAGGAGGGAATAAGAGGAAGACAGTGAGCTTTACAGAGAGGGAGCCAGTGGAGGAGGAGGACAGGCAGGGAACCAGAACCGGCACTAAAAAAAGAAAAAAAAAAGAAGAAGACAGGGAGCACCACAGTTTGAGAGCGTCTGGGAGCTGCAGCGCCTCAGAACAGCAGAGGAAGAGTTACAAACCGACAGAGGAGGAGGGGAGTTTTCACTCTGTGTGTGTGTGTGTGTGTGTGTGTGTGTGTGTGTGTGTGTGTGTGTGTGTGTGTGTGTCGTAGTCTTCAAACACGGCCATAAGATCATTCTGCTGACACTTTGATTGAAGTCACTAATAAGAATTTACAATCGTGTGGTAATCTCAGTAAAACCTGATGCAGTTTCCCTATGACTCATCAGATTAGTGTGCTGCAGCTGATTGGAAGGATGAAAACACTATTATTTCTCTGCAAAACTAATCATGWATATGATGGCATCTACAAACACAGTTGCTTAACTTTGCCTTCTATAATAGAGCTTAAAACAACACAACACTTTAACAGGTCGCAAAGTGTCTGATTCAGTGGTTTTATTATGTAACATGTCACTCCTTGTTCCAGAAAATACATCAGTCACTTAGAACAACAACAGAGCACTCTTTGTAACTCCAGTTCTGTGCTGTGGGATGCAATCCAATTATGTCAGAGGCTCCATATTGACTCGCTTGGCAATTTTCTGATGGGGGGAAACCATAGCAACAGATGTCTCCTCGCCCACACGAGGCGCCTCGGCACCGTGGAGTTAGGGGCGTCTGTTAGGGAGCGAGAGCGTCCTCGTGACGGTGCAGATATCGGGTGACGAGATCGCCGGCCTCGGTCTCAACTCGAGGAAGGCAGGAACAAAGTGATTCTCGTTTTATTTTCCAGTCACAAGCAGACTCTTGGCTTCGGATGGCTCGCAGCCACCTTCCTGCGCAGCTTCCCATTTATTACGCTGCCAAAGAAACCCCTCGCATATGGCTCATACTTCTGTAGAGCAGTGGCCATTAACTGGCTGCTTCACAAGTAAAGAAGCTTTTTTTTAATCCAGAAAATGAATATTTTGAATGAACTGTTGCTAGTTCATTCTTAAACCTTTATTATAGAAGTTTTTAAGTGTTATTATTATATAAAGACGGTAGGCTAATAAGCTGTAACTCAGCCAACTTTGCAGTTATTGAGCTGAAATTTGAAATGGTAGTAACTGAAAGTATTCCTCAATAAGTACTTTAAACACCAACAGATCATTTGAGGGCTAGCATGAGATTAATTTAAGTTTGGTTAACAAGGTTTTCCAAAACAGTGATAACTCCATCCCCTTTCACAATAAGATGATTTTAATTTAAATCTCTGGCATAAAAGGTAGGAGGTGATATGCATTCATTTCATTAATTCTAGGCCTTTAATTTAATATAATACACTGGTTATATACAGAGGTGTATAGTAACTAAGCACTTTTACTTCAGTACAGTACTTAAGTACTTTTCTTTTGAGGATTTGTAATTTTACCAAGTATTTTTTAATCATAACTTTTACTTTTATTTTGTTACATCCAAAACATAACAATGATACTTTTACTTCTTTAATTTAACACCTCGTTACATATATACATATTTAAATATGACCAGAACTTATCTTGACAGGAGATTTTTTTWAAATAAACTTTAAAAAACGAAGTGTTGAATTTACTTAACCAAGTTATATCAACTGGTTCCACTAAACTGAGTTACTCAACTCGGTTTAGTGGAACCAGTTTTGTTGAGAAAGTTCAACACTTCCATTTCTTAGAGTGTGTCTAAAAGTACTTTAACATTTATTGAGAGCAGTTTTACGTAAGTTACTCTCCTTATCAGTGAAATTAATTTTTACCATTTTCTGTTGAGGTGTTTTTACTTTTACTTAGTTTTTTTTTTTTTTTTCAAATTCTTTATACACCTCTGGTTATATAACACTGTGGATGTAGTGTTTTGCTGGTAATAATAAAATAATAATTATAGCTCTAAAATACAAAAACAGATCCATCTACTTTTACTGGTGTTATTAGAGAACAATATCTAAAATAAGAATAAATGCAGTTTAAATGGAGAAACTTTGTTTATGTATTGGGTAAAAAGGGAACAATCAGGTCACAAGATGTTGCAAAACAATTACAAACTCTTCACAAGCCCTGCCCTAAAACGACCTATCCTTGCTTTGTGAAAATCAGCTCCTAACTTTCCGCCAGGTGACAAACCAGCTATTTGCATGAGCCTCCTGTGTGTGACCGGCTGCGGCTCGTCCACGTGCGTAATGAATTTTGCATGGGGCTCGGGGGAAGGTTACTCTGTTGGTTTTCAGAGTCTTCCGCGTGGAAGCATTTACCATCAGTCCCTTGTGTCACCGCCTGAATTATTTAGCTGCATCTCTAATTCATACAAGCGCTGCCTGGAGTCTGGAGCAGACCCCTTCGTCACACACTTCACACTTTTTTTTATATAAAAAGGTGATCAAATGTACAAAATCATTAGAAAGAGTTTGCATTTTATTAAAAAAAAAAAGCACCATCTGGTTCTGTGAGCTGTAAGTAGCTCTGATCAGTCTTTCCTGCAAACATTGTGTTTTTATTAAAATGCACATAAAAGGTCAATTTATTCAAGACTTGACATGCACTCAGATCAGGGGTCTGCAACCTGCGGCTCTGGGGCCACATGTGGCTCTTTGAAGATGTGACAAAAGATAACAATTTTATTTTTTTTACTTCTTTGGTTTTTATACTCACAACAAAAATTAATTTGTATGTAAATATGTGATCAAAACCTGTTGATTAGCTCACGCTAGTATGTTTATTTAAAAAGTCCAACTTCTTTCTATGATCTTTTTCTCAAATCCATCAGAATTACCGTTAAAGAATTTGAAGACTACATAATAAGAATTAGAAAAAAATATGCCTGAATAGTTCCGTTCTACTAGTTTTTATGAAATTTAGTAAAAACTATTTATAGTGTTTTTCTTGTTTACAGGAATCTGGTCTTTTCATTTGTTCTTACGTGTAAAAATAATAACAAATATTAAAATTCACAATATATTTTTTAGTTTTATAATGTCCCCTCCACTGGCTGTAAAGGTTCCTGAAAAGACCGTGAATAGGCCCATGGACCACCAGTTGATAATCGTAGTTGTATCTTGTTTTGTGGCTCTTTTATCAGTGAGACGGAATGCAGAAATGGCTCTTTTGATCATAAAGKTTGCAGAGACCCCTGACTCAGATCAATCAAGTGTCTCACATTTTTATACCCTTTTTTTTCTTTTAGACAGCTGGACTTGAGGCGTTACCATTACAATCCTGTTAAACTCCAGTGTTTCTCCCTCAGGTTAGTTAATGAGTATTTTGATAGGCTGACAGCTCTTCCTGGCAGGAAAAGGGAGGGTTTTGCACAGATTTTCCGGGGCATGGTTTCCTTAAAATACAGAAATGTGAGTGTGARGATCGTATTTGATGTTAATGTTTTGTTTATGATAGCTTCTAGAATTTAAACCCACTTGATTTTGTTATTGTTTAATAATTACAGGAAGTTTGACTAAAACTGTTTTAAGCAGTCCTTATACACACACAGTAAATATATATTAATTATTATCTCTAAGAAAGATCAGGGGATTTTTTTTGACTCAAAAGATGAAAATTAGTCATGATTTTAACAACGACCTCATGATCGCCACCTGAACTAATAACTTGTGTCTACAGTACTGTAGAGAGATGTAGCTGTTTTGGTCCAACCTTGAAATAACATTTAGTCAAGGAAAATCGCAAGACRTCAGAATATGTGTTGATAATGACTCTCAGCTACTACCACATCAAATTTTAGCTCAGTATCTGTAAGATGGATGAAGTTAAWGTTGTGTTTGTGTTGGAGTCAGTCAAATTCATGAGATATTTTGCATACAGGTTGACTCCAAAAGTGAAAGCAGGAGTTTTAAGTGAAATTTATAAAATTTATCTGTCAAAATGACCAAATTATTATTATTTAGTGTTTTCTGAGGTCAGTTAGCTGGGTTGGCCATTTTGAATTGGGGAGATTTAAAAAGTTAATCAGTTACTTTTTGAAAATTGCATTTAAATTTGTCTCGTGCGTCATGGGATATCTTAAAAACAAACAGACCCATAAACACTGACAGACGGGTAACATTAACACTRTCAGTGGTGTGTAATGAAATCTATTTAAAGGGGACATATCAATGCAAAATCCACAACTAGGAGTCCAGAAAATTAGAATTTAGTCTCTCCCGGTGCTGCGTAGATATCTTTATAATCTGTTTGGGTCACATTTTTCAACCCGTTCAGTTTTCTCTGTTCTCTTTTACGTTTTCTGAACGATAACTCTGCTGTCAAACTACAAAAATGGTCAAACAGGGTTGAAGTGCCTCATTTGCATTTAAAGGGACAGCGCCAAAATGAGTTGCTCTCAGACACAGCTCAGCAGGGCTTGTGGAGTTACAATAAGGAGGAATCCTGATCAAATCATTGCAGTTCCACTTTATAAAGAACAAATAAATGGTTTAAATGTGAAAAAGAAGGATTTAAAAGCGTGACGTGTCTCCTTTATTGTAATCTTCAGCGCTAGAGTGGGTTGAATAATTTCAGGTTCTTGGACATATGAAGTTTTTCTCGTTTTGACAGATTCACAAAGAGATTCAATTTTCAAGGCTTATTATTATTATTATTATAATAGGCTGCGGTCTGAACCTGCAATCCTCCAAAACTTGATTTAACATTCACGAATCCCATTACTGTATTAGTGCCAATGTTCATTTTACCTTCACTCCTTTAACTTCATAAAACTGCTGAGATGWCCTGATGCATCTCAATAATCCAGGTAGAAAAATCTAACAAGGCTTCGTCAGGTCCACTGGACGTGTTCTTCATTACTGACACGTTTGCACCTGGAGGCCTCACTAAAATGCAACGCTCCTCTGACGGTAACGCCCGACAAGCTGAGAACGATGACGGAGAAAAGCACAACATCCTGTGAGGTAGAGGAGGGTCAGAATAAAATTTATCAGCCGCTGCTGCCTTGAAAGGCAGGCAATCACTGGTTTTTGTGTGCAGATTTAAATTAGATTCTCAGAAAAATCAAAACGAACACAAATATTTCGACGACCTGCTCAACTTTGCAGATATTGAGCTATAAATGTGTTAGTTGCTGAGAATCGACCCGACAGATTGAGGGCCAACAGGTTGCATGAGATATTTGTGTCAATATGACACACAAGTTGACTGATTATATACAACCCTTCAATGAGAGTAAGGAAATTTGTGTTTGGTAGATTATTTCTTCATTGTAACAATGCTTCTTGGTGACAAATCTTAAAGTGAGCACCTGATTGGCAGCACCGGGGAGTCAATAACAACAAAATACTGTTTGGCAAAGACGATTTGGTAGTTTTTCATGTGTTCCAACTCACATCCTCAGCTCTACTGCTCATCCCACGAATGCATATTCCTTACAAATGTGGCGCCATTTAAAAGGGAAATTAACAGGCTTTCCAATAAAAGATTTATTGCCMAGAAGCATTGTTAATACAAAGAAATACTCTACCAAACACTAATGTCCTTACATTTTGTGCTAAGYGTATTCATATTGACAAACCAATTAATATTTACAGTGAAATACCAACAACTTAAATGTGCAATAAAATGTTTTGAGTGTAAAAATATACCTGTCGGTGTAAAACTTAAACACATAAACTCACTAGAACCAGTCATGTATTAAAAACACATAAAAAAACAGTGGTGCCCACACAGATCAGAAACCTCCAGCCCGGACCAAAGGTTCAGCCTTAGATTTATCCTGCAGACTTCATCAGAATCACACAGGGCCCAACCTGGCAGTATGTATCAATTAGAGGCAGCACGGRGGTCTCTGAAGAGGGTCCATCTATTTCTCCACTCAGCACTTCCACATTGATTAGCTCTCTGCTCGTGCAGAGAGCTGCACAGGCCCAGTCGTCTTTAGACAAGAAAATCCCCCATCCGGAAAATATTCCCTCTGGGAAAAAAAAAAAGAGGCCACACTTTTCAAACAGTGAGTGTAGTCCTGCTGACTTCAGGATTAGCACTCTGAAACTGGAGTGGTAGCTTTAGATAGAAATCTATTTGTTTTTGTCTTTGATGAGGGTTTGGCAGTAACCTTTAAAATTCCTGCCGATTGGTTAAATAAATAAAAAGGTTTTGTCAGATCTTTAAAATATTACACTTAAACCTGTCCAAAGGTTTGTATTCTTTATTGMCCCAGCTAAGCAAACTTAGCAAAAACAAAAAGGCCATCAACTGAGTTTTAAAAGTGTAAAACTAAAATTTGGTGGTAGCAACGTCCCCAACACATACGGAGCACTATGGTGTGWAATATTTTTACCTAAAAATATTGACTCTTTGTGCCAATCTTGTTAGAAAAACATCTCATAAACCAAATCCGCAGGATCTTAATTAAACTCATTAAATCATCCGTTTAATCACGATGTTGGTGTATGAGAACTGTCCTCCTACATCCTTTCTGCTTCAAACCTCATCAATCACGTCATTTTAATGAGAATAAATAACCATAATCATAATCCAGCACTGAAGTAGCAACAACAACAACAACAACAACAAAACAACTTTTAATATAACAATTAAAAATGAAAAGTTCTGCATGCCTTTGACTAATTGTGCTCAGTGGTGTGGAAATTTTAACAACAGCCAGTGAAAGTATGGCTCGGTGCCATTATAGTTTATTCATTCATTTTTCAGAACCGCTTTGTTGCGGTCAAACTTACTGGACGGGCCGAGCGAGGTCATCGATTCAGACACTCATAAGAYGGTTATGCTCAGTTAGGTTACATTAAACTCATTAATTAATGTAACCTACATGGTTTTGTTCTGTYGTAAGAAAACCAGACACAGATTTGAGATTTGACAACCACCGCCAAGGTTATACAGCAGAATAAAAGTTGTGAGAACCATAAAAGCAAACAGAAACACAGTATGTGGTAACATTAACTTTTATTTCCCCTCTAATCTCACAGGAGGAAGAGATCCCAGAGTTAGAAATTGACATAGATGAGCTCCTGGAACTGCCTGATGAAGGGCAAAGAACTCGGCTGCAGGTACGACTTTACACGTTTAACAAGTCCTTCTCTGCTCGGGCAAATTTAGTGTTAGATGGGCTTAGAGGCATTTTTTTTTTTTATTTTTTTTTTTTTTTTTTACAAAATCTGCACTAAAGAAATCATTTTTTATTTAGGTACTGTTTACATTTTGATTTTCATATTGATCATGATTCATAGTTTGTTTTTATTTTTTAATAAAGATGAAAGTCTATTTAAAGTTAATTTTATCTTGAACTGGATCATTTTCTTTCTTTTTTCAGGAGTTATTGCATGAATGTGGAAAGCCAAAAGAGGTGAGATTTTTTTTAAACAATTAAAATAAAAGCATTAATCTTTATTAAACTGGAATAAATTATTAGCTTGTTTGTTGTAAAAAAAATGCATACTGTCCGGTTACATTTCCTCTCTCAATCTTCCCCGCAGGAATTTATCAACGGGCTGCTCTACAGGATAAAAGGTCTACGCAAATTGTCCTTGAAGAAATAATTATAGGTCAAATTAGGAATSAAGACAACATGGAGCATGAAGACGGAACATCAGTGGGACTTTCTTTTGGCCCATCGTCCTTTCTGGGACAGAATGGATTTAACCTCCACCCCACACACACTTTAATTACCTCTTCAAGAAATTGACCTCCCGTTAACATACTGATAATTTAGAACTGAAAATATCTCATAACTTTACTCAGATGGACTTTTTTTTGTGTAAGGGTGTACATTTTCAGTTTCTTATTTATGTACATAAGCATTTTGTTCGGGTAACAGTGTTGGAATAAAGCGGCGCATTTTCAAAACATGTCTGATCGTGAATTGARCAAAGCGACAAACCGAAATGTATTATCAGATATTATTGTACAGACACAAATAAAACACATAAAAAAGTACTCTCAACACAAACTTCTCTGTTATCACAGCTGCTCTTCTCTACGTCTCACCGGCCTTTGTCTGGAAGATGTTCCCAGAATGCAACGTTCCGTCTTTTTGGCATCAATTTTTCAACAGAGCGATAGAAACAATGGCGGCGTTGACGTGTCAACTGGAGGAGTAAACAGACAGAGATCAGCCGCAGGATGTTCCATTAAGCGTGCACCCATTATCCTCTTCCATTTCCTGTCTGTGGCGGTGGGTTGGTGTGTGTGACATGGCCAGAGAAAAAGGCAAACAGCCTCCGTACACACCCTAATGGAGCAAGCCCCCAGGAGGAGAGTGTAATTATGGTTTCCCCTCACTTAGCTGGACAGTAATGCTCGCTGATGAAACTGCACTCTGGGCCTCTCCCTGTCATGCACCGGGGGTCTTTTTGTCGAGCGCTCCTCCATTACAGTAATTTGTACAACTTCCCTCCACGTCCGTTCTTTTTCTCGTCATCCACACGGAAAGACTTCACTTACAAACAACATCTGCCAGACTATTATTTTAATTTAAAAAAGTATTTTTAGAAATAAAAACACAAAGGTGTGACTGTATCAAACAGTTTTGCTTCATTTATAATTATACCCCACACAAGGACAGGAAAATCTCATAAAGTCAGCCAAACATAGACTGCAAGAATGACACCGTAAAGTAAACAAAGGCCTCGGTGATCCTTTTATATCGACTCGTTCTTCAGTTTTGGAGCTGACAACAGTCTGGGAGCGGACATCATCTCAGATGAGCTCAAGATCTGTCGGCTTTGTGTTGTAAAAGTTAAAAATAATCAAGAGATGATGAGAGCAAAGTACACTTTAGGATGAGGCTTTGATGGAGTAAAAAAAAGTAGGACAAATAAAGAAAAAAAATGCTATTTCACTTTGACAGCTCTAAACTGTTTTGTGTGCAGCAGCTTTGTGTTTTTACTAAATTACCCCCAAACACTTCCTACAGTTTGATTCTTACACTTTCTGAATATTCCACCAAAATTATGGTTCAAATGTTACCCATATTGTACCTGACTTTTTTAAAGGTCATGTCTATTTTTAGCCTGTGCGCTCCTAGAAAAGGATTCCTCGAATATATTTCGTTTACATCAGCCTCAGCAGGTACYACAAGCAGGAACAGCTTTTCCTGTAAATGACTGGCTAATATAAGTAGATGTGTTGCGACGAGCTCTGGGTTTGTATATAAYACAGTAGGTAGTGTTTTATTTCTCTAAGATGCTATTTTAGTTACAGTAAAACGTCACGTGAAGGTAAAGATTAAGTCTCGACGGGTCACAGTTTAAGGCAAACAGCTCTGCGATCACGTCTTCCTCTTCTTTTTGGGGGCAGTGTAGTTAGCGGTGCGATGCTCCATCCTGTCATATTTATCATGGCCTTCCCTGAGGAGACAATAGAGCGTGGATTGATAATTCATCAAGCTAAATACTTTATATTCATGCTGTTTAACAGTATGGCAGCAGCCTGTACACATTTATCTGGGTCATGGTGCGCATTCCAAATCATCTTGTACGGAATAAAGATTTCCATGCAAATCTCTGGTCTGAGTCACGACCTAAAATCTTAACGTATTCATTATGATTTAAAGTGCCTGTGACATCATTTATTTTAGATAAACATGAATGCATTTTTGGAAAGATAAACATTGATAACATATTGCAAAACAAATTTCACGCCGCTGAGATGAACGGTTGTTGAGATATTTGCATGTGAAGTAACAGGAAGTGATGTCAAAGAGGAATGTTTGCATGTAAACAGAGCATTGCTACAAAGCTAACAGACTGTAGAGAAGAATCTGAAGTTTCTTTACATTATTTTGAGTCTCTGTCAAAGAGAGATGAAAGAGTTAAAATTTAAATGATATTGTTTTAATAAACAAAGACCAAAGATTTTATTTTATTAATGAGTTCCGCCTTGATGTCACTTCCTGTTTCACTTTGGCTGAACCAAATTCAAAAGAAAACAGGCCAGAAGATGTTTTCTTTGACTTTTTATATTTGAAGTATATGCAGGTACTTTAATGTATTTAATGCTACCTGAAGCAGCGGCTGCAGTACAGGTCTCCATCACAGGTGTGGCAGCGGAGGGTGGCGTCTTGGTTACAGATGCAGCACCACGGAAGCTCCTCGTCGTCGCTGTCCGACGGCTGGCGTGCCACCGCAGCTGAAGGCGTCTTGATCTTTGGCACGGGAGCTGCGGTCTTTTAAAACACGTCAAATAAAAAACAAGTGGTTTGGATTTTATGCCATCAAAATGCTTTAAAACAATCCCGAGTTTGTTGAGCGTTGTTCAGTACTGGTTTTTTAGAGCTCTTCTTTTTCTCTGTGTTCTTCGGGCCGCTCTGTTCCACAGGTATGTTGTAGCCACTGGCTTCATCGAGCGCAGCTTCTTCTGAAAGCTGAGGCCAGAAGAACGAGAGCGTCAGAACTTCTCTGTGGTTAAATTAAAGTTACACGAGGAAAGTGGCCAAACAGCAGCCTCTTGTGGCCACAATGGAAATTCACCTCAGCTCGTAAAAGTGAAACAGATCTATTACTAACAGAGTTGTAAAGTAACTAAGTACAAATACTTTGTTACTGTACTTAAGTATAATTTATGGGTATCTATACTTTACTTGAGTAAATATTTTTCAGCCTACTTTTTACTTCTTACATTTTGACACAATTGTCTGTACTTTCTACTCCTTACATTTTTTAAAAAGGCAAGAAGTAGAAAGTTGTTACTTTTATTTCATTTTTGCTTGTTTTAATTCCAGCTTGTTATTGTAAAAAATAAATACCATCCATATAAATTGTGCCTCCTAGATAGAGTGAATTTAATTGTGGTGGAATGAGAAGTATAAATATATAAAATTCTGATACTGTATTAGTTTGTACACAAATAAATCATGTCACACTCCAGCAGGACAAAGCAGACATACAGTATGTAGCCTAGTACAAAGATGTACACTCACCGGCCACTTTATTAGGTACACCTGTCCAACTGCTTGTTAACACTTAATTTCTAATCAGCCAATCACATGGCGGCAACTCAGTGCATTTAGGCATGTAGACATGGTCAAGACAATCTCCTGCAGTTCAAACCGAGCATCAGTATGGGGAAGAAAGGTGATTTGAGTGCCTTTGACCACACCGGGTGCCACTCCTTTCAGC